GCTCTTCTAATGTTTATTTTTGAGGGAGAGAGGGAGAGAGAGTGTGTGCCAGCACATGGGGGAGGGGCAGAGAGAGAGGGAGACAGAATCTGAAGCGGGCTCCAGGCTCCGAGCTGTCGGCATAGAGCCCGACGTGGGGCTCGAACCCTCGAACCCGGAGATCATGACCTGAGCTGACGTCGGCCACCTAACCGGCCGAATCCCCCCAGAGCGCCCCCGGGGCTCTTCTAAAGGAAACACAGTCAACCCCTGTTGCGGCTGTTCCTCCTCCTGGAACGTTCTCAGACCTGTCAGTGGCCTCCTCCCTAGCTCTCTGCACACACCCGTCACCGTTTCACCTCTGTCCCCTCCCAGCCTCATGCACCAGCTCTGTGCCTTCCCGCTTCTCCTTCAGACCACTCCTGACCTGCCACCTACACCCCTTTTAGAAGGTGGGTCTCCTAGGGGGTGAACAGATTCGCCCGCCGCTCTGACTGGACCCCGCCCCGACCACCTGGGGTGCTCCCCTCTGGAGGTCAGGGGCAAAGCTCCAGAAGCCAGTGCTCTGCTGGCCCCGGGCAGGGGCGTGGCTGCACAGATCAAGGATATGAACGTTTTGTTCAGGAGCTTATAGGCCCAGATAAATGCTAGATTTCGAAGGAACATATCTTCATAAGTTGGTGGTTAACGTTTTAAGAACGAAAACAGGATTATAAACGCCAAGTCAACAGAAGAAAGCAGAGCACAGAAAACCAACCTCAGACAAGGGAAAACAAGAGGACGACAAGATGGCCAGGCCACTTAGCACAACCGCAGGGACCAGCCCCCGTGGCGGCTGGATCAGGAGCCCAGGGACGGCCCCGAGGCCCAATTCCTCACCTTCCTTGGCGAGGGGGACTTTGCAGAAGTGATGACAAAGGCGGCCCGGGGCCGCCCAGGACAGTCCCAAGTCCTTACGCGAGGGGGGAGGGGTCAGAGTGCAGACACGCGCACAGAAGCGGAGGTCGAGGCGAGCCTCCGCTGGCTTCGAAGGCGGAGGAGGCCCCGAGGGTTGCTGGCCTCTCTCTCTCTGCGAGAGCCTCCGGGCTGACCCATATTTAAGACTTCCGACACCCAGAAACACAAGACAAAGTTTTTGCGTTGTTTCTGTGTTTCGCTGCCACCATCTGTCACGGCAACAACAGAACGGGGAACAAATACAGTCCACGTACCGCCACCGATCGTGATAAACGTGGACACAGCGGGTTAAAAATCCCATCTGTGCGCTGCTTACGCTAGGCCCTAGGTCGTGTCACAGCGACGTGGAAAATGAAGCAGTGGGTTCGCGTATGGTGCACCTGCACCCCCCACGCCTGCACCCCTGGAACCTGCC